TTTCTTAGAAGAACTAGAGAACCGATTCAAAGATTTTGCTTTGTGAGTGGAAGAACAAATATCCTGTTTATGGAGGCATTCAAGGCCAGGCTGGATTTGGCTCTGGGCAGCCTGTTCTAGTAGTTGGTGACTCTGCACATGGCAGGGGGGTTGAAACTAGATGATCGTTGTGGTCCTTTTCAACCCAGGCCATTCTATGATTCCATGAATGATTCTATAATTCTATTTATGTTAAAAGTTCTATTTCCATAATGGGAATAAAAGATTTAGTTAAAAGTAAAGACTGTAGAAATGAGCATATACTAAATGCATTCTTTTTTGTGGATTAATCTTACATAAAACATTAATTAAAGTGGGCCTTGCTGCATTATTTAAAATGACAACAGGAGACAACAAGCTGAATATTTTGGCATTGATATGACACTTCAGATTCTCCTCCTTACGCGTCACTCTACCATTCAATTAGATTACATGCTATCAAAATCCTATGGAAAAAAAAGAGAACTAAAACATATATACTGTGAATTTTAAATGTGCTTGCTATTTCACATCATTCTGCATCACACGGCTTCCTTTTTTCCTTTGCTTATGAAAAAAATGTCAAGCAGATTGATCAGTGAAAAACACAAAACTGTAACATGAATTCTGAGGTGACATGACACTAAGATGGGATGTTTGTAATTTATGCTGGTTTTGTTTCATTGACATTACAGTAGAGCCGTGTGGGAAAATTCTAATGACAAACTTTCTCAGGGAAAAATGAATACTTTGTCAAAACCAGTCAGCCACCTGTCTCCAGGTGATGTTTGCATCAAAAACCACAAATAACCCCAGAACCTCCTGCAGATTCATCTAAGTTTTGAGTAATGGAATCCGTGTTCCTTTTTCTGGATCACATAAAGCACTGATACTGCTTTCATGTGTTCAGTCCAGTTTCCCTAGATGCAGGGAGTCTGACAGGTCTGCCATTGCTGCTCCTTTTATGTTGTGCAAGCAGAGAATGCTACTTTCTCCAGTACCCGAGGCAGGTGGAAGGGTAAGGTAGAAATAGTTAAGAGCTGTGCAGGAATTACAGAAACAGTCAAAGTGAGTCAATATGCCATGTATAAATAGGATTGTAGTTTCATATTGGTGTATTTAGTATGTAGTGTGCATATGTTTTCTTACAGTACTCCCCACTCGAGCACTTCTGGGTGTCTGAAATTGGTGCAAGAATGACTTGTTTTGCTGACTAGAACCTTGAATTCACTTTCAAACCATTTTGTATTTTGTCCCCCCAACTCTGCCATGAAGTTGAGCACTCTCTTCTGGCAGTACCTGCAGCTTTTAACTCTCAGGTGTTCAACTTTTATCCTGAAAAAAACCTGACACCATTTTCAGTGTCCTTATTCCATGCCCTCTTATATGGATCTTGACTGTAAAATGAGTGGTTCTTATTCATGTACTGTTTAGTGCCTGTTTCTATATGAAAACACTCACCTGAGTTAGTCAAGTCTCTAAACTAGAGAGCTTCCCCGACTCCCATCTTGCATTGCCTTCTGTCGTCGCTCAGTCGAGTTAGAGAGCTCTCACAGTTTCTTGTAGCATCATTGTAATCCTCAGAATTGTTCTCTTTATTGTGTTCAACATACATCTTATATACCATTCGCTTACAAGCCAGGAATTCCTGTCCCTCTAATCAGTTGATTGGTCTAGCTTCTCCCAAAACACAGTGATAAAGGATGAAAGGTTTCTTAAGTGTGATAAGATTAACAATACGTACAAAAAGAACCTCCTGTTTACCCTTAGACACAAACAGATACCATTTGCTCTCTGTCTTACACTCCAGACTCCCAAGGTTTCACACTGATAGGGTCTATCAAGGAGTCTGAAAACTCTTTGCTGACTTGCTCACAGTTACATCTTCCCCTACAGCCTTCCATTTCTGTTCATCTTTAAATCTGTTCCTTCAAGTAAGGTTGTCTGTGTTTCATCTGTGTAAGCAATCATAAAAATAGGAAAATAATTCAATGCCTTCCAGAATTGCATAACCCCATGATAAAATACTCAGATATCTTTTCTCAGAGACTTCTCTACCCCATGCTATCAACATTGATTCCAGTCCTTGTTCTGAGGATGAAAAATTCATCTTTCTCAGTATCATGAAAACAACATGGATTTTCATAATCTAAGTAATATTTATGTCATCTTCTTGTTCTTTTTTTTAGGTTTTTTTTTTTTTTTTTTTTTTTGCCAGCTAGTTTGCTGGTATTGTTTTTCAAAGTCATTTTTGTGGTACACTTTAAACCAAAAGCAGTATTCCATGTTGTACAAGATTCAGCACAGACCTTAATCTTTTCAGGACTCAGATTATACCAAAGTATATAAAGGATAACATCTGCTCTTTGCTGCTAAAATATGAAACTAACAGCAACTAACCAGGGATTTTATTTTATGGCAGTCCTGTGCTGGTCACCACCTTTTGACCTTCTAAAGATTAGGCATCCCAGATCATGCTTTATCATGTTTAGGTCATCAGAAGTAGAGCTGTGCTTTCAGTTTGCTTCCCAGATCTGGTACTGATGGATTTCAGTGGGTATTCATATCAGGATCTCTGATTTTCGCAGAGTATGATGCCATCTGTCCACTGCCTGCCTTTGGGACCAGTGGCTCTGTCTGCATAGAGATGTCCAATGTTAGATTCTCTCCTTGCATTTACCAGAGACTCACATCCCAACATCTCAGCCACTTTCTCCAGAGCCAACTGCTAGTCCCCTTCCTTTATCTGTGAATGGGACAGCCTGTTCACACACATGCACAGTGGAATCACTGAAGTGCCTCTACAAGGTATTGACCATGGAACAAAGTACAGCACTGTGTGTTGGTAACCAAATGCAGCCTGACAGAGGGAACTGTGCTTTATGGATGGAGATGGCCACTTGATTTTCTGAACCTGTTTTTCCAACCCTTCAAAAACAGGTTGTGTCTTACCTTACATTTTCTGACAGTTGATGTTACTAGATTTGTAAAACATTCAGAAACTAAAAAGAGTAGGCTATACTACTAGTCAGCATAAGCAAAGTGAAGAAAGCATTAATTTTTAAAATTCTCTGAACTCTAGAAGCGCAAAACGAGAGTTTAATCAACAGATGCCGATGAAAAGAAATAAACTGAATAGGTAATAGATTCACACTTGCAGGTGAGATCATTTAAAAATAATAATTAAGATAAAGCTGATAATTTGGTAATTCTTCCATTTCAGAAAGGCTATTGATAAAAATCAAGTATGTAGCTGAAAATTTTTGCACATACTCAAATATGTCTACTGTCTGAACATTATTGAGCACTGTTTTATTCATTGAGAACTTAAACATGTGAGTGAATACTACAAGAACACCATATCTTATTTGAAGAAATTTGAAGAAAAAGATATTGTGAGAGACTCCAGAAAGACAAAAAAAAGCCTCATCAGCAAGCATCACCAGTACATGTGGAATTCAGTGTTGACACTCAGGGAAGGGAGCCACTAGGGAACTGCTTTAGCAGTGGGTTGGACTGGATGATCTGCAGAGGTCCCTTCCAACTCCTAGAGTTCTGTGATTCTGTGAACAGAGAAACTGCTCATTCAGTTTTTTAAATACAAGGTGAACTGTAACGGCATAGGAAAGATAACTAGCTGCGGCTTATTGTGTATTGTAGACAGTTTAATTAACACCTCCATTATTAATCAAAGTGAAGAGAATGCTGCCATGTACAGAAATGGAAAATTGTGCTGGAATCTTCATAATGCTATTCTGTAATTTCTCGCCTTGAATATTGTGTTTATTTGTCATGACAGTGTCCAAATAAAACATAATGGTAATTTCAAAGATGAGGGGAAAGTCCTAAAAGAGTTTTCTTTTGGATTTGAAAAACACTGGAACATCTAATATTTACAGAACGTGGAAAGGGAGTACTTGTGTCTTCACCACTTGAAGCAGCACTGATTTCACATAAATCCCAAAAAGGACAGGCATTATCAGGAAAAGAAAAGTTTGCCAATTGGAGACTTTCTACTTCCTTTGCTATCTTATTAGCATACACTGCATAGAGTAGAATGGCTCATGTACAATACTAACAGTTCTAAAAGAGACCTCATGGTGCAGCCTGGTTAGCGTGCCTGTTGAGCCTCTCCTGTTAGACAGTTCCAGAGTGGTGGCTTAGTCTTGGATATAAACAATGAAACAGTATTTAGTAAAGTGTCAAGGTTAAAAGTTTGTCTTTATATTGGGGTGTTTTCTTAAGAAATTAAAATAGCTTGTAATTCAGTTTTAAAGAAGGCTGAATTTGGATACGATGCTGTCCTGGAACCAAAAAGGAAAGCTATTCTGGTTAGGCAGAACTTTTACTTGGGTAACTTAATGTATACACACAAATAAACATAAAAAAACATATGAACTCAGAATTCTGCTGGATTAAGGAAACATGCACTCATATGTGCACATATGCACACCAAATCTAGGAGGGCTTTTGTGCATTAACTCTATTTTTGAGTCTATCTGTATGCCCCTAAATTGTTAGGATATTTTTCTTTGAGAGGGAAAATCATGGCACTGACCATGCAATTTCTTGGAGATTGCTTATGCTTCTTTTTCCTTGCCTCAAATGTATTCTAAAGTATTGTTGAAAGATACATATATACCCAAAGTATATTTAAGTTAGATAGAGCTGTTCTTAGCTAGAGGTACAGCAAGAACTCTTGTTTGGAAGTAGTAGTCACTTTTTTCATTCTCTTCAATGTGTGAATACACCAGAGCAAATGATGCACAGTCTGCTAATTCACTATTGCTAGCCAAAAAAAAAAAAAAAAAAAAAAAAAAAAAAGGAAAGAAAATAATCCTTAGAGAATAACACAAATAAATGAGGATTTTGAAAATGGGCAACATATTTAAATAATGTGACTAATCTGTGCCAAACAGCTGGAAATATAAAAACCCCATAATATGTCTGTAATCCTAATGTGTTTCTTTGCTGTTTTGCAGGCAGACCAGTAATGATTGTAGTTGAATACATGGAGAATGGATCCCTTGACTCCTTTCTGCGGGTGAGGTACCATTTTGTGATGGCATTTGAATAAGAAGTCATTCTAGGTTAAGATTTTAAATCATTTATCATAAATTAACTCCTACATAATGTTATTCATGGAATTTTAGTGAAGAACAAAAGCATTTTCCCCAGGGCACATTTCTAAGGTACAGTGATACATTAGAGCATAGCTGGAAAAAAAAAAAAAAAAGATTTAAACTTAAGAACATAATTGATTTCTTTTGCAAGAGTAGCTCCCATATTTAGCAAAATGCATTTTGATTAGTGTTTTTGTGAAGGAAAAGATAAATTGAAGTACAAATACCTAGGCTTATGGAAGCTGTTCATTTTGCTCAATCACCTTCAAAAACACTTTGTTTTGATTCTTTTGGTTGGTGAAGTGTAGAATAAACTTGGTAATTGATTTATAATTATTTATGGTTTCTTGCATTAAACAAATTGAATTAGAAAACAGTTCATGGGTGAAGTATCTCAGTGCTAATTAACCCCAAAAGGCCACTCTACAAACATTAAAGAAGAGCTATAGAAAGCATGAAAATATGTTGTTACGTTTGTATTTGTCTTTTCTTAGAAAAGTAGAAAGGGATGACCCCCTAACCTAAACTTATCTTAAAGTAGTCTCTTTGTTAAATCAACCACTGGAAATCTCTGGAGACCTAATGACATAACCTCTGTGAATGATTTGACTGTCAAGTATGTCAAATTTGTCTTAGAAAGTAAATGGCAGTCCTTACCAGCCTAGTGCCTTGCCACTTCCATCTTGTAGAATGCAAAGTGGGAGTGTAGACAAGGTTTGGGGATAGATGAGGACTGTGGTTTTGTGGACATGTTTGAAAGGGTGTCCCAAAATGCCAAGCAGAGGTGTTCAACAAAGAGAAATCTAGATGATGATGATGAGGGGTGCAGGAAGAAGGAAATGATAAGGGAAGACAGTGAATAAGCAGGAGGGAAAGAATACTAACACCTTTGAAAGAAAACAGATGCAAAGAAATGAGAGACAGTCATGCAGAGAGCACTTATTTGACAGCAGTTTGGGAAAAGAGCTAACCACCAGAAAAGAACAGCATCTGGAACAGAAGATACTACTTTGAAAGTACATCAGACCCATTATTTCAGATATTGCTAGACATTGTTTTTCCATTCCTTTTGCTTTTGGTTATTCCGTTGTATTTTTCACTCCTAGCATCCCTTGCTCTTCACTGACTATCCTGAATAACATTTTGGTTTTGTCTGTCAAGACATCTGACAGACGTCTAGTTTGTTGGAAAGACCAACAATGCTATTTCTGGTGAGAATTTGATAATCTGTCAAAATGAAGTTACTGTCTGGAGGTAGTGTGGTGTTGTCAACATCTTCTGGAAACCAATTTGGTTTAAAAAATCAACCCAGGTGCCTTTCTGGATCATCTCACTATCTGTCTGCAGAAAGCAGACAGACTGCTTCTCATTTGAGGACCTAGGGCTTCCATGTTCTGTAATTTTATCTTGGTGACCCAGGAAGATTTGCCTGAGCCCAATTGTGCTCTTTGTGCAGTCACTGTGTGTGCGTGTGCAAAATTTCACACAGGAGAATAAAAACAAATAATGAAATAATTGATTCCATAAAATTATCTTTCTCTGAGCTGCTCTATTATATCTACGTATGTTATTATTCACATTCATTTATTCATCAGAACAATTACTACTTATTGAGATACGTTACTGTCAACTGACATTAGCAAAATTACGATGTTGTTGTGAAGCAATACTTCTCACATTGCATAAGAAATTGCGGGCAAAATTGCTGGGGGGAAATGTGAGCTAATCATTTCTGCTGCTGGTTTCCATGTGTATTATTTTACAGTTTTAATTCACACTTCTGATGTGGCTTATTCTCCTGAAATGGTTTTTAAAAGGATTTTAGATAATATTCAGTGTCCCAAAGCACTGTAGATATATCATCAGTGTTTCTGTTAATAATTAGCAGAGCAAATGGCTTCAAAGTAACCTCTTTAAAAAGAAACCCAGCTGCTTCATTAATAATAGTTGTTTCCTGCAGAAGTCTACACTTTTAAAAGCTTTTGTGAAGATAGAAATAAATGAAGAGGTTTTATTCATAACAACCCTAGTGAAAGATATTGGGTGAGTGTAATAGTTTTTGTGTGCTTAGATTTGGAAAGGCTTATGATATTATCTATCTTCCGTATTATTTAAAATAATGGCTGGTTATAGTGCAAAGTCTTTTTACAGAGAAACTGTGTAGAAAAATAATAATTTCTTGCCGTAAGAAAGACTTCCTCCATGCCGCAACCTGCAGACTTTAACTAGCACAGCCCTCCAACCTGTCATTCTCCAAAAGCGTACAAACATGGATCAATTACACTTTCTCAAAGGGAAGCCCTGTGACATGATAAGCAGTGTGAGTGCAGTCCAGAAGACTCATCATGGAAGAGGTTTTGCAAACAAGTTATACCAGGAGCCCTGAATTCCTAAGTAGAAGTCCCCTTGACCTAAGTTCTTTATAGTCTTCATTTCCTTGCTTTACACATAGGGAAATAAAGCACCAAGATGTTAAGTGATCTTCACAGTATTCTGCAGGAAATGCATGGCAGAGATCAGAAAGTAAATCAGTTTCCTGGAATACTGGGTCAGGATACACCCATCTTTCATCATTTTTAGTGCTGTGTTCTGGTTTTGATTATGCAGCCAACTCTCCCAAACTACTGCCTTGACTGCTGATCTCTGTCTGAATTAAACTGCAAGCTCAGCTAAATTATGCCTTCCTCACCCCACAAAATATCCTGTATTCTAAGCTGTTAACTTTGAGCTTTTGGGTTAAAAAAATTGGCATGCATTTGCAATACAAAGATGCTGTAGATATTTTCATTATGGGAAGACATGAGCTCATTAGAACCAATTCTGTAAGGTGATGGCAGTTAACTACAGCAGATTGTGCACCACCAGACAACCTAAATTGCTGGAGACACGTGGTGCCTAATTTCCCTAGGAAAAAAAAAAAAAAAAAAAAAAAAAAAAAAAAAAAAAAAAAAGCATTATTTTTGCAGTTATGTAAAACTCATTATTGTAAGATGAACCTCAGTATCATTTTTCTCATGTAAGATTGATACACAGAAGTTAATCATCCTATTGTCAGGTAGGAATATTCTGTGTGTCGCAAGAAATGGGCTGAAATTTCAGCAATTTCCTGTTCTGTTACCAACTTCACATACACTATACTTTGGCTAGAACAGATGTCTTTATGTTTCTGTCACCCACCTGTGTAATGGAGATCTTAGCAATCACTTATCCTCCAAGCATGTGAGGAAAATAGGAACCATGTGAAAAGTTAAAAGGGCAGATATCAGAGCTCATAGAAAAGTGTACTCAGTAGTTAGGATAATTGCAGTCAGACAAGTTTTTTCATTCCTGTTGATACAGTGTATAAATATGACAAGAAAGACAGTCAAGAAATACATAAATAAAGAATAGTCTTAGAAATTCAGAACCTTTTTAATAAGCAGTGTGCTTATTAAATGGAATAATAGAATCATAGAATCATAAAGTGGCCCAGGTTGGAAGGGACCCTAAAAGCCCAGCCAGCCCCAAAGTCCTTCTTCAGGAAGGCTGCTCCCACCAGCTATGGCTGTCCGGGGCCCCATCCAACCTGGCCTTGGGCATGTCCAGGGGCAGCTGTGACAGTGCCTCACTGGCCTTTTTAGGGATTTACCCTCATCATCCCTCTCCAGATTTTCATTTGGGAAAGAGAATATGCGGATTAAGAAGCTCCTGAGATTGTTTTTTTCCAGCATTTTCCCTTGACTGTTCCCTGAAGGCATGAATGTTTAGGTTTCAAAGAAGGACGCTCCATTCTTGCCCAGTTTTGTGAATCTCTGAGTTGTAGGCAGAAGGGGTTCATTTGCATTGGGTAAGCACAGTTTTCCTGCCTTTTTCTCCATTATCGTTTGCAGTAGTAATGCTCCCCTTCTTATTTGAAAACTGACACATTTCCTTTCACTTAAGAAAATGAAAATAATCTTAAAAGCATTGATTTATTTACAGGCATTCATAGTATGTTAAAATTCATAACATGTATTTTCTTCTTCCAAAGAAAGTATTTTCTAAAGTTTCTGTTTAAAATTAGGAAGTGCTTAACTATTTCAAAACGTTAATGGCAGCAGACTGTACAGCAAATGAGACCCACAAATTCATCACCAAATTTTAATCCCTTGAGGCATGTCTAGCAGCAGCTAAGATTAGTGTAAAAAATGTGAAAAATTATGTTACTAGAAGGAGATAATGTTATGATATATTGTTCTTTGATGCAGTAATCGTTATGAAGTTATTCTCAGAGCAGCTTTGCTATCAGGCCCTCCCATTTTTAACTAGAGTTTAATTGCTGCAGCAGACTCCTGCTCTTAGTGAGGCTGAGGGTAAGGGAGAAAGGAGAAAAATGAAGATTGGTAGAAATTTCTATAAAATGATGCTGTACGTATGTGTTGTAAATCCATCTAACATGGCCTCACTAGGCAGAGTCAGCTTTGGGGAACAGAAGTCAGATGGCCATTTCTAAGTTTAGTGGTTCTCCTTTTTATTTATCTGCATCCAGGGAACCAACAACATTACAGCTCATAACTAACACTCCTTATTTTGCTTTCACACACAACATCCATGTGCACTTTTATTTATTGGAGACATGTTCCTTTCCTGCTGGGGCAAAGGCAAAGGCAGCATTTTCATTTATTTTGCTTTCAGAAACTACTCTAGAAAGAGGAAAGGCTACACTGGAGACGGCTGATATGCACATTTTCTTCTGAAGAAAAAAAAAAAATTGAGTAATTAGAAACTGAATTTGTGTGAATGTGATACCTTAATAGTGAAATGGGAAGCAGTGAATATGCACATGGTCTGAGAAGTATTTGGTGATGCTACAGAGCTAACATTTTTTCTCAACCAGTGTTTCATCCTGTGAAAGAGAGGCAAAAAACTATTTCTGATACTGCTGTGACAAGTTCCTTTACAA